CTCTCTCTCTCTCTCTCTCTCTCTCTCTCTCTCTCTCTCTCTCTCTCTCTCACACACACACTCTCTCTCTCACTCTCGCTCTCTCTCTCTGACTACTATGTTGAATTTTCTGCTTGGCATCAGAGCCAAAGAGCCAAAGCAGCACTGAAGAAATAATCATCTGGGTAAGTCTAAAAGTATAAAGTGACAGATAAAAAACATATCCTCACTTTCTTAGAAGCAGAGTCAGACTCTGGTCCAATGGTACTCCAGATAAAGAAGTGGAGCTTTGAAACTTACCACAAGACTACTGCAGAAGGGACAGTACCTAGTTCACACAAAAATACCATAAAGGGAAGCTTAGGAATAAATTAGAGAATCCTGTCAGCTAACTGAACTTCCTGAATATAGTTAAATATCCTATGAACAACTAAGGACCTTTTACAGGTGTGTTAAGATTATATCAATTAAATTGAAGAGAAAACTGAGAAGTCTGACAAGAGATTTAGGACATACAGCAACCAATCAAATGCACGGGTCATATTTAGCGTCTAAACCAAAGCCTTAAAAACATATAAAACAACTAGGAATTTGAACACAAATTATACATAAATATTAAAGTATTGTGGAATATGTGGGTGTGTGTGGGTGTGTGTGTGTGTGTTTAAATGAACTGTGAATATATGTGGAGAGTTCTTATTGTGGAAATACACATGACTTTGAAATATGTCTGACTAAATTCATTGAATTGGTAAGGGTAGAGAAAAAAATTGTTCATGGCATAACTGTGGAATTTAGATAATAAGTATTTATGTCTATGGCATTCCTTTGTATTTTTAATATGTTGAAGGCTTGCCATAGTAGAAAACCAAAATAAAGTTAATGTAAGAAACAAACTTTATTTCAGAAAAGAGACAAGACACACAAGTTATTAAGAAAACAATTAGGAAAAAACTTCCTATTTAATTTTTCTCATCCTCTCTTGTATTTCTGTACGGTAGCAAAAAGAATAACAATTTGGAAGTGAAGTAGGTGGAGCAGATGTTGTGTGTGATGACATCTTGCTCATCCTAAATACTTTTTACCAATCTTATTTTTCTTATAAATAGTGCGTTGATTTTTTTACTATTTAGTTTTTCCCTCCTTTTAAATTATTTTTTTCCATCACTTAACATGCCTGTGATGTGCTCATGTGTATGCATGTTGATATACAAGGGTCATGTGTCCATGTGCTTATGTAAATCATCTTCCAATGCTCTTCTATCTTATTTATTGAGGTCAGGAGTTTCTGTCAAATTTGAGCTCAAATATACACTAGCTAGCATGATTTTTTGAGACAGGGTTTCTCTGTATAGCCCAGGCTGTCCTCAAATTTAGAGATCTGCCTGCCTCACCATCTTTGGTGCTGGGATTAAAGGCATGTTTCCACTACCACTCTGCTCATGTTGAAATTCTTAATGGTTTTTATTTCTTAACACAACTGTAAAAGGTCCTTAGTTGTCCATAGGATATTTAAACTGTATTCAGGAAGTCAGTTAACTAATCTCTGACTTCTGAAATTGGTATTACAGGCTTCCCAAAAGACATTTACGCATGTCCTGCATTCACAGGAGTTCTGGGGTTCCTTCCTAATATCTTCACGCTTGCACAATACGCACTTTAACCACTGAGCTATCTTGCCAGCCCTCATCTCCATTTGAACTCTGAGACAAGAATCCAGATTTTGGAGCAGAGAGGGCACCCAGAAGGGACATCCTGAAAACAGAGAAGAGGGAAAATCAATCTCCCAGACAACTGGGATGGCCAGCAGTCCATAAAGCACACACATGGCCCTTCTTTTTGTCAGGCCATGAAATGCCCAAGGCTCAGAGACAGGGCCCAGGCTGGAAGACTTTAAAGGGACCCAGAGGTGAAGAAGGGACCTGAACTTTGCACAGCAAGACACTGGGGGCGGGAAGAGGGGCTAGGGCCGGGGGCGGAGCTTTGGCTTCTGACGCAAGTGGCACGTGACTAGCCCACGCAGGCTCACACCCCTCGCTGGGTCTCGGACCTGCCCTGGCTCACTCTCTTCCAGCCCGCCATCCCTAACGGAGGCACCTGTTCCTGGTGGCGCAGCTCCTGGTGGCGCAGAGCGCGCGGGCCCGGGCGGCGCGGAAAGCAGCAGCAGGAGGAGGAAGAGCGGAGCAGGTGAGAGGGACAGGGGCCCGGACCCGCGGAGCCCTTGGTCGGGGTCCCGCGGCCGTCGCAGCGCAGGCCGAGGCTGCAGGTGGCCGTCCCCGTGTGCGCAGCGGCGCAGCGGCGCGGCGGCTGGACGGGGAGGGAGGCGGCGGACCCGGGCGGAGACCCTCGGGGAGTAGGAGCATGCACCCCGCGACAGGTTCCCATAGACCCCAGCATCCCTGCATCTGGGGGGCCCAGGGGTGGTCGGCGGGGTGGGGCAGAGGCGGCCGAGGCGGCGGGAAGAGCCTGGGCGGTGGCGCTCGGTACAGTGCCACAGGTCCTCCCTCCCACCCACTCACCCATCCTTCTGGGTTGATCGCAGGTCCGAGGAGCAGAAGCTTCGCAGCACACCTGGTGGTGAGCATCTCTAGCAAGAGGAGAAGGCAAGGATAGGCCCAGGTAGGTGCTGGGGACTGAGAGGGGGAAAGGGAACGTGCGCAAAGCTGAGTCTGACCTCAGGGAGTTCAACTTTCCCCTCTACTTTTATCTTTTCTTCCATCCCATGCTTCCGATTTTTTGTACCCATAGGGGCCTTGGAAATGGGTTCACAGGGGAATGGTAGCCTCTGAAGTGGGAGGGGGTCCTGGCTCAGGTTTGTGCCTCCTTTCTATGTATTGTTAAGCCCACGAAGTAAGCATCTTATCTCTCCTTTTCTAGGAGTAATGGCGTCCAAAGTCAAACAAGTCATACTGGATCTCACTGTGGAGAAAGACAAAAAGGACAAAAAAGGTGGGAAGGCCTCCAAACCAAGTGAAGAAGAATCCCACCATCTGGAAGAGGTTGAAAACAAGAAGCCTGGGGGAAATGTCAGAAGGAAAGTCAGGCGACTTGTGCCTAACTTTCTGTGGGCCATTCCTAATAGACATGTTGATCACAATGAAGGGGGAGAAGATGTTGGGAGATTTGTAGTGCAGGGGACGGAAGTCAAGAGAAAGAGTAAGGAGCAGCAGACTAGGCCTTACAGGCGTTTCCGAACACCGGAACCTGACAATCATTACGACTTTTGCCTCATACCTTGAAATCTAAGATTTTTTTTCTGGGCTCATAAAATGGCTACTGTTTTACAGGCTTGTATCTAGTGGGGTATTTTTTCTGTAAACTTTTGGTGTTTCCACTTAACGGTTTCTACATAAACATTGTTTAATAGTTGCATTTAATTCTAAACATTCCTATCAGCATGGCAATTTAACCCATTTTAGAAAAATATCTTTTTCATAATTTGAAATTAATAAAGCAATTTAAAAAGCAATATGTGCTCAATCATTGTCTACTCAGTTCTTATATTTCCTTCATAGTGTCTTTCCCAGCTGCTCGGACATTGGCAATTCTTTTTTTCACATCCCCAACTAATCAGTAAGGAATAGTTATAATTCTAGAGTATAGTGTGTGTGCGTGTGTGTGTGTGTGTGTGTATAGTAGATTAAGCACAAACAAAAGCAAGGTGACTAATTTTAGTAGCCACAATATTAAAATCTACAAGGCCTTACATTATAATAGTAGGGGTTATGACAAACTGGAGGGTAGCCACTATAAGGCCAAGCAAGTATGGGCTGAGAGAAACATCCATCTTGATTGACCTGTAGTTCTCCCTTAAAAGCACTTTTAATATCTAAGATCTCATTTTTTTTTATCCTTGCCACAACCTATCCTGTCTCATATCTCCTCTGTGTACATAAGAGTCCTGGAGTTGAGAGGCTAAATCTCAGAGATACCCTCATGCTGTATATCTTGTGGATTTCCCTGGTGGCATTGTGTATGGTACCCTCTTTGAGATGCAGAATATTTAATTTGTAATTGACACAAGACACAAACTGGGAGAGTTTAAAGAATCAAGTATAGCAACCATTTTGGTGTTTTTTAAAACACAGAAATACAAGAATGTTTCCATTTTAATCCCAGGTGTGGGATATGGGGCTGTTCACATTGTCCACAGCAGTTGACTAATTTGTCTCCTGCTCTAGCAAGGACATTATTTGAACAGCTGTAGATAATTTCTGATAATTCACGATGTTTGGAATTCTGGGGACTCTTCCGAGAGTATATAAGTGCTAGGGCCCTAAAAGGTGCATGGGTTGTTGATTGTCTGCTGTTGGTTGCAGTTTGTCAAGTAGTTGTGTGCAAAGAAGAAGCAAGAAATCAGATATCCTGATGGCGAAGATCAAATGTGCTCCAAGGAACTCAGTGGCCCTAATCAGCAGGAGGTAGTCTAACAACACTGATGCTCCCTTTTCCCTCCGTCCTTCTTCTTATCTAGTCTTAGGGAGTTGTAAGGGGAGAAGAAAGTCTGGCTACAAACAACAAAAGTGAAGCTTCATTTCTTTTTATATCGCCAGCAGATACTTTGAGAGTTAGAACACTGGAGCATAAAATGTGTTACAGTAATAAAAAGAGACTTTCAATTTGGGAAGAAGGGTTGGAGAGAAGACAAGGAGGGAAATAATGTAAATTTAAAAGTTCTTAATAAAATCTTAAAAGTCCCTTCAGTCTAGTCTTCTTCAGACTAAGAATTACCATCCATTTTCACTCATGAAAGAAGTTTGTGTATCATAATAAGCAGTCAAAATCAGAGACCAGTTTTATCTCATGGTAGAACTCCACTGCTTAATGTGTGCAATCCCCAACATCAAAACTGAAGTCTGTCTCCCTGTCTTAGGGTTTTACTGCTGTGAAGAGAGACACCATGATCAAGGTAACTCTTATAGGGACAACATTTAATTGGGGCTGGTTTACAGGTTCACAGGCTGAGTCCATTATCATCAAGGAGAGAACATGGCAGTGTCCAGGCAGGCATGGTGCAGGTGGAGCTGAGAGTTCTACATCTTCATCTTTAGGCTCCCACATGTCTAGGAAGAAGGTCTCAAAGCTCACCAACACAGTGACACACTTCCTCCAACAAGAGTAAACCACCTAATACTTCCACTCCATGGGCCAAATGTATTTAAACCACCATACTTGCATTAGTGTTAAAAATTGGACAGTTTTATCTGCAGAAAAAGCACTCTTAAAATGTGTTTCTTTTTTTAAAAAAATAAGTATTTTAATACTGTGTGTGTGTGTGTGTGTGTGTGTGTAATGTACTGGGTATTATGCCTGGTGCTTGTGAAAGTTAAAAGAAGGTATTGGCTCTTCTGGAACTGATGTTTCAGGTGGTTGTGAGCTGCATATGGGTGTTGGAAATTGAAACCAGTTCTCCTGCAAAAGCTGCAAATGCTCTTAACTACTGATCCATTTCCCCAGCTACTTAAAATGCATTTCTAAGGACTAGCTCAATGGTATATCATTTTCTAGCAGGCACAAGTCCTTTGGCTTCACTTCCTAGCACTTCAAAAAAAATTCTAACTAGAGTACAGAACAACTTATTTTTATTAGCTTATATTTATTTTACAAATAATGGATTTTAAACATGTATTTCACACATGCTTATTTCTCATCCCTTCCCACTTCATGCTGTTCCTTCATTTGTCCGCAATAATCCTTATACTTTCTTTTTTATTATTAGAGGGAAAGAGAAGATAGAGTTTGACACACAGAATAGAGCCTAGGGTTTTACACATACTATACAAATGCTTTTTTTTTTTTCTGAGCAGATCTCCAGACCTCTTGCTATTTTTGAAACAGGTTATCACTAAACTGGTCAGGGTGGCATTGAATTCACTCTGTAGCCCAAATAAGGCTTGGGTTTATGATCCTCCTACTTCAGCCTCAGAAGTACCAGGTGTTACAGGACTCTGCTGCCAAGCATGGCAACTTTATTTTTTTTAGCTCTTTTTATGTTCTAGATATTAATATCCTGTTAGATGAATAACTGACAAATATGTTCTCCTTGATTTTTGCTTGACTCTCATTTCTTTTACAGCTCAGAAGCTAATTTGATACAGTCCCATTTGTATTACTTCTGGACATTTGGTGTCCTACTCAGAAAGCTTTTGTCTGGGATCTTTAAGTGGTTTCTCTGTGCTTTTCCTTAGAAGTTTCAGTCTCAGGTCTTTTAGGGGTGTTTTATCAGTTCAAACTTCGATTTCACAGATAAGGGAACTGGACAGGAAAATGATTTACTACAGTCAAACAGCCAGTTTGTGTCAGAGCTCTGTTTGCAGCTTTTATCTTATCAATTCCCAGTTCACGGGGCTTGTCTTCTCATTCCAGGGGCTACACAGAACAGTGCTTGGAAATTTTTACAGCATATATTGATCACCAGTTGATATGAATAAATGCTCATGCACACTTGTACACAGTTGATGTTTGTTGTTCATGCTATTTAGTCATCATAGTTACTATTTTTTTAATCAAAACACATTTCAGACCAATGCCATGCCTATATCATTTTGGAACTGTAATTGTGTGTCCTTTGGCTAGAGAAAGGAGATGATAGTCTGGCCAGAAAATGTATAGTGATAAATTCATGGCCAATTAACAAAGGCTAGTAGATTGAGTGAAGTTCATGAATGTTCTTTCAATACTTTTAAAAACTAGCACTTGATCCTGTCTTGCTCACCAGTGATTCTGTATCACCCCCACTTAACCTGTTCTTTTTCAAACGTAAGAATGTGGGAGGAATCAGAACATGATTCCATCCAAGGAAGGGAAACAGAAACCCCCTTCATCTGGCAAGGGATGAGTGCAAAGATTTGGGAGGAAATAAAAATCAGTTTTGATTCAAAATATGGTTTGTTCAAGTACTTAAAAGACCTTGTCCTTTTAATGGAATAAGGACATAATGTTCCAGAGGCAATAAAGGTCATGTCCACTATGCTTTTGATGTTAAGCTAGATGAAAACCTCACCTTGGGCTGGAGGTGTATCTCTAGCAGTAAAGCGCTAGTCAAACATTTATGAGTGGGTATTCACTCCATAATACCACACACACACAAAGATAATAAACTATCTTCTGGCAATTTGGTGTTAAAAACAAGAAATTTCCAAAAGCAAAGTTTCAAGGGCCATGATGTCATTGTTTAAACTTTAAAGGAAGCTTCTTTCTAGAGGTTTCTGCAAAGGTGGAGGACAGGGTTTTCTGGAGGTGGGGGGTGCATAGTTAAGAAAGATCAGATCAGAGTGATACTGTAGGAAAACTGAGTTTCACCTTCCCAGTGAGTAGTTAAATTAATTTACACACCTTATCTGAGGGTCAAAATTTTTAATCTTGGTTGGTGATAGTCTGTCTTTTTAAAGTGACAAATGGATACCAGTGAGTGTCTCTAAAAAGTCCTTGAAAAGGAGAACGCAAATATTTGTATGAAGCCAATAAAAATGCAACAAAGGATGACCAAACTGATATCCCTATCAGTCTTTCATGTGTTCATGTTTGTAGATTTGGGTTTCTTAAGGAAATGTGCCTGCTTTTATATTGTGGAGCAAGACTTGAGTTAAAAGCCCAATAATTAATGAGAGGAAAGTGTGAGGTGATCTCCTAACAGAGGAAAGTTAAGCCTATGTTCCAAAGCAGTTGTATGAGTGTGTGTCTTGTTGCTGTGACAAAATGCCTGGCAGAAGCAATGGAGGGGCTATTGTTATATGTTTCCACGTTAGCTTTGTATCCTAATATTGCTAAATTCATTAGGTAGTTCTAGTAGCTGCATGCAGCCTTGACATATCATTCATACACTCTACAAAAAGATTCTTGTAAGTATAAAAACATCTTGTTTTATGGCACTCAGGGTCAAAAATATGGGCCCTGTTATCTCCTAAACTAAAGGAGCTGAAATTGCTGAGTCTTTCACACCTTTTTTTTTTTTCTCATCTTAAAAAAGTTCCCGAAGTCGTCATGATTAGATAGATAGGGCTTCATGAGAATAGCTTGCTCTGCTCCTTTCCAAAGGGAAGCATGAGAATACAATCAGAAACTAGGAACTGTACTTGAAATGCTTCCGGACACAATTAGAAATTTAATGATACCTCTACCCATTTCAATAACAATACAAAATTTGAGTCACTCTGAAGCATTGGCCCAAACATTTCCAAGGGAATGACAGAGTTTAGTACAATCAGATCAGAGGGGCAATTGCTTTGGAAAAGTAGAGCAAGAAAAGAATTGTTAGGCAAGTGTTTCTTAAGCACTTCGCAGCTAGTGGTGTAGTTATGCAGAAAGCATACTGAACCTGGCATGTGACTGTGATGCAGGGTACAAGTCTGTAATTATCATTCTTAGGAGGCAGGGACAGGAGACCTTTGAGACTGAGGGCCCTCCTGGGCTACATGGTGAGCCTAAGTCTCAAAAATAAAACAAAACTACAAGCACGAATAACTGTGG